CACCCCGTCGCGTTAGCCTAGACCAGCTAGCCACAATAAGATTCATCCAACTAGGTATATTTCTACACCATAGGAAGGTTAGCACAGGCACCACTGGAGATTCGTCTGTAAAAACTTGCATTTGTGGTCACAGAGGTGCCTGTGCTAACCTTCCTATGGTGTAGAAATATACCTAGTTGGATGAATCTTATTGTGGCTAGCTGGTCTAGTGGCTAATGCGACGGGCTGGAGTTTTGAGACTCTATGACCGCGGGTTCAATCCCGGCCGGGGTATGGCTTGTCCAGATGGTGACCCGGTACACGTTTTGACACGAATTTTGTGCAGTAATGTCATAGTAAGTAAGTAAGTAAGTAAGTTTATTCAGGTATACACAAATACAGTTACATAGAATTATCATACATAGCAGCATATGTGTAGAGAACCTGGGATAACCCAAAAAAGTCAGACAGAGTGACTTATTTCCATTGGGGTCCTTTTACCTTATTATTATAGTATAAAGGTTATAATATTTTCTTATTATTCTACAATGAAGATAACATCTTATTATCATACTAAAAAGACTATCTGCTACACCAAGGTCATTAAGACTATCTACAATACGAGGGTCATTACTAGGAATAAGGTAAAATTTACACGTATGTTAGCTAAAAAATAGAAAATCATTCCCCTCCCTTTCTGTAGCTACATTCATCAGACACCTTTTGGCACTCTTCTTGAACTGGTTCACGCTATGACTGGCTTTGACATGTGCGGGTAGTCTGTTCCATTCCTTTATTGCTGTACAATAAAAGGTGTTTGAAGCCTGGCCACTGACTGTGGGTACTACAAAGTTGTGCTCTCTCCCCTAGTACTATGATTGCTTTGGTTCCCAACCTTGACAAAATTGACAGCAAGATATTCTGGACATTGTTTGTGAGCAATTTTATAAACATGATTTAGCTTCAGTTGTTTTACTCTGTCTTCACATTCAGCATATCCAACTGCTGTAATTCATCCTGGCCTACATGTTCTCTTGGTCCAGCCCCTAGGATGAATCTTACGATTTTGTTCTGGGTGATTTGCAGTCTATCTTTCAGTTTTTTTGTCAAGGCAGAGTACCAAGAAGAGCAAGCGTAATCCATATGGCATTGTATAAGGGCTAGACATAGGGTCCTGCGAGCCTCAGTAGGTAGACACTGTGCTTGTCTATACAGGAACTTCAGTTTGGCATTCGCTTTCTTTACTACACTGTTCCCTATCAATTCTCCTGACATGCATGGGTCAAAGGGGATTCCCAAATATTTTACTGATGAAACCAAAGTGATGGACTCCCCATTACACTGGACATTAGTACTCCGCTGATTGTATGCAATTAAATTTTATATATTTTGACAGTGTTATTATAATCTTATTCAACACTTTGAATTATAATACATAGATTATTATTATTATTATTATTATTATTATTATTATTATTATTATTATTATTATTATTATTATTATTATTATTATTATTTATTATTATTATTATTATTATTATTACTGTTATTTGATATTTTGGGTTATCGTATATTTTCTACACATATGCTGCTATATATGGTAATCTATGTAACTGTATTTGTGTATACCTGTATAAACAAGTAAGTAATACTTGTTTACTTACGCTCTTACTTTCAGATGATCAAAGTTAGTATTTAAAATACGTTTTCTATAAAGGTAATTGTGGTCTTAGAAAATGTATGTGAAAGCATTTTTTATGCATAACTTAAGTAATTTTATCGATACGCTATAATATGATAAGATGAGATTTCGTTCGGATTTTTAGCCCTAGAGGGTTATCTTGTCCCCCGGGATGCGACCCACACCAGTCAATTAACACCCAGATACCTATTTGCTGCTGAGTGAACAGGACATATGTACGGAAACGCGTCGAAATGTTTCCACCCGCCTGGAATCGAACCCAGGCCCTCCGTGTGTGAAGCGATAGCTTTAGCCACCATACTACTATATAGAAAGCCCCTTGTTATGCAGAATAATTCTGGCAAATTAGGTCAGTTTTTGTCCCAGGATGCGGTCCACACCAGTCTATTAACACCCAGGTACCTATTATATTTATGACTGAACAGGGACAACCAGTGTAAGAAAACACGACTCATGTTTCTACCCTCGCTGGGAACTGAACCCGGACTCTCAGCGTGTGAAGCGAGAGCTTTAGCCACCAGGCGTTGTGCGGTGCCTGGCATTAACCACTGAGGTGTGGGCCCACAACCTGGTCTAGATGGATGACTTAATGGTAAAGGGGGAGTTATGGCCCATCTACTATACAGTGGTCATTAAAATTGAGACACTTATGCAACATATGAGAACCTTTATTTATGAAGCGTTTCGCCACATAGAGGCTTCATCAGTCCAATACAAAGCAGAAAGGTGTAAGGAGAGGAGGAATTTGAGGTAATCAGTCCCTCAGCCTGGAGTCGATGTGTTCAGTCCATCAGTCTTGTAGAAAGTACAGCACATGGTCGGAGAAGCGGCTTATGTACTGTAGTCAGGTGAGTGGAAGCAGGAGGAGGCGGGATCATAGTGGAACCATCCACGAGTGTAAGTAGGTCTCCGTCCGAAGGTTGGACAGGTATTGAAGAATTCCTTGTATCAAGTTCCCATGATGTTGCGGTGAAAGATGTTGCATAAGCCACTTATGCAACGTTTCGCCACACAGTGGCTTCGTCAGTCCAATACAAAGCATTAAAGATTCCCATATGTTGCATAAGTGTCTCAATCTTCAACTTGTCGGTTTTCAAAACCATTTATAACGTCATTAATTTTGCATGTCATCTGTTCAGCCACCAGTCAAGAATATTTTAATATCTAAAATACCCAAATCTGTAGCTAACAGATGACCGGCTCTGGCATCACGTCGTGCAGCTATTTAAGGTTCATTCGACTCAGCAAACACAAAGCAGCTTTGAAAATACGAGTTTTTTCAATCTTTTTTTTTTATTTTTATGCAATTGCATTAGTTTTAATTTTTTTCTATAAACTCCCTGTTAAAAGAAATTCCAGTTTAAAAATTCCATGTTTAAAAGAAGTATTTATTTCACTAATAATTTTGTCCACACAGACCTGCCTCATCATGACCTCTTATCACCACCCAAAACACAACACGTCTTTCATTCTACACTGTGGTGACAGTGATGAATATAGGTTATGATATTGCCAGTTGATGACGGGTAGATATAGCGGGGATGGTGGGGAGGGGTGTTGGGGGAATAGGGGAGGGGAAGGAGATGTCATTAGATATGAATGCATGATAAACAGGGAATGTCATGATATTTGCAGCTTCCGTCGTCTACCATCTGTGTTTCCCACGACCCAACCTTTTCATCTCATTGACTCCTCTTCCCCAACAATCCTCTCCCTCTCCCTCTCCCTCTCCCTCTCCCTCTCCCTCTCCCTCTCCTCTCTCCCTCTCCCTCTCCCTCTCCCTCTCCCTCTCCCTCTCCCTCTCCCTCTCCCTCTCCCTCTCCCTCTCCCTCTCCATCCACCTCCACACCTCTCTCAAATATCATAAATTTATTACTGAATATGACGTTAGCGTTGTACAGATCAGGACACCAGATAAATATAAAAGTCACACAGTGGATGTGCATTCACGAATGTCATACAACACCAGCACCAACAGCCTGGTAGAAGAAGAGATCTGAGGACACCGTTCACGTCTTACCTGGAGGTGTACCTGGAGGTATATCTGGAGGGTGTTCTGGGGGTCAACGCCCCCGCGGCCCGGTCCCTAACCAGTCCCCATATCGCCCACTTTGGTTTCATCTGAGGGCAGATATCTTTCAGTCTGTCTCTTCTGATTGCCGATATCATCGAAGCAAGCAAGAGCGTCCTTCCATTGGTAACTTCGTGGTAGTGAAAGTCACGCTTGAACACACTCTTTTTTCGCGGTTTCGGAATCTTTAGCAGAAGTTGTGGCTTCAGAAATAATATCGATACCTCGTTCGACGAGATTCAGCGGAGAGTATTATCCCTGCTTCAGATTTTTTACTTCATTCAGGAGCGAGGATGTTGTTGGTGCTGATGGTCTTGCTACTGAGGGAGACGAAGCCAACAAGCAGTCTTGGTCTGGAAGAAGAACAAGCGGTGAGAAATCTTCGTGAGGAACCAGATGAAGCTCGTCACAGTTTTCTTGACAATAAGTCATTCCTCTTGTTCACGAATATTTCTGTATCTCTGGTCTCTTCTCTTGAAGAAATGAGTCTCAAGGCTCCACCGAACACTCCTCTTTCGACTCGTTCTTGGAGAACCAAAATGTGGAGTCGGCAGACACATGCGAGGGTGATCTCAACAAGCAGCTAAAATTAATGTTTTCTCATTCCCATTTACTGCTCAGAACATTAGGCGGTGTATTAAGTTGGAAGAACCCGCCTCAGAACATCCTCTCTTTGCTCTCTCCAGTTATTCTAAGGAATAAAATCCCTATCGTTCTTCACGACTCAGAGGATCTGTCAGTGAGCATCCTGGAGCATTACTTCCAGGGTAGTCAGAGCCTCTTCCTGGTGGTGCTGGATATTACCGACGCCGCTTTGTTAAAAGCCAGTTGGCTGGGAAAGTACAACGATCCCGCTTTCGTCCATGTAATCCTCTTTAACTCTGTGAGCGTTGTGGAAGCCTTTGTTGAAGGCCTTCCAGAGCGAGTCTGGACCCCTTATTACCTCCTATTAGTAAACACAAATTCTTCCGTCAACGGCTCACGTCTTCTTGCTCTAAAAAAGTTTAATTACAGCCCGTTTCTTTCGCTTTTACAGCCGAACATAGTGGAGACTTATACCAACTACCACATTCTCACACACGAAATGTTTCATCCCAGACATAAGATCCTTTCCCACGGCACCTTCAGCCTCGACGAGCCTCACACATTCGCCACTGTCTTTCCCGACCGCTTCAAGAGCTTCTACGGATACAACCTCCAGCTGGCCAGCTGGATCAACGATTTTCCTTACCTAGTGCCTGGACCTACGCCTCAAGAGACCTACGGAATGGGCGCCAACATGCTCAACGAGATCTCTCGAAGACTTAACTTCAGCGTCACATATTATCCAGAGCCAGAGGACCAACTCTGGGGCGAGATGGTCAACGGATCCTGGGTGGGCATGGTCGGACAGATCTGGCGACGAGAGAGGTGAGGTCTTTGACCAGTTATTATGCATGTAGGGGCTAATGAAAGACAGAGTAATAATAACAATGTACTCTGAACATTAAAATGGTATAAAATACCGACAGATTGTTAGGTAAGACACATATGCAACAGTTAGGTATCTTTATTTTGAAACGTTTCGCCTACACAGTAGGCTTCTTCAGTCGAGTACAGAAAAGTTGATAGAAGCAGAAGATACTTGAAGACGATGTAATCAGTCCATCACCCTTAAAGTTTTGAGGTGGTCAGTCCCTCAGTCTGGAGAAGAGCATTGTTCCGTTGTCTGAAACAACATTGTCTGAAACATATTGTTTCAGACAACGGAACAATGCTCTTCTCCAGACTGAGGGACTGACCACCTCAAAACTTTAAGGGTGATGGACTGATTACATCGTCTTCAAGTATCTTCTGCTTCTATCAACTTTTCTGTACTCGACTGAAGAAGCCTACTGTGTAGGCGAAACGTTTCAAAATAAAGATACCTAACTGTTGCATATGTGTCTTACCTAACAACAATGTACTCTTCTGAAGTCTCCCTGATAACAACAACACAAACAATAGACGATCTAGCGTAAACAAAATAATAACAGGATTTAATTCTCTCACTGCACCCAACACTTTATACCAGTGTTTTGCCTCGGCTGATACAAGTGCCTGAATACTCAGTCTCCTCACAGAGGTCAGGTCTTCAGAGCTAAACCTTGAGAACAGCTTTCTTTCGCGATTAGCGAACAGAAGATCAAGCTTGAATGATCCTCCCACGTTTAGTGATGCATATGAATAAATTAATAACTTTATAGAACTTAGAATGTATACAACGTATATCAATTAGTCTTCTGAACACCCTAATGTATAATCAATGTATAACCAATGTATAATCAATATATAATCATAAAGTATTCAACATGGTGTTAAACATGATATAGCATCGTGTTTGAAGTGGCAAACTCCTGTCTTCTTTTTATATCATAGTTACTGAATTTCTTTTTAGTGCTTATTACCACTAACTTTAAACTTACCACTCAAATATATTTTATACCTCAAGTGCTTCCTGCTGAACATCACTTACTGAGGTGTGTGTGTGTGTGTGTGTGTGTGTGTGTGTGTGTGTGTGTGTGTGTGTGTGTGTGTGTGTACTCACCTAATTGTGGTTGCAGGGGTCGAGACTCAGCTCCTGGCCCCGCCTCTTCACTGATCGCTACTGGGTCCTCTCCCTCTCTGCTTCCTGAGCTTTGTCATGCCTCTTCTTAAAACTATGTATGGTTCCTGCCTCCACTACTTCACTTGCTAGGCTATTCCACTTCCTGACGACTCTATGACTGAAGAAATACTTCCTAACGTCCCTGTGACTCGTCTGAGTCTTCAGCTTCCAGTTGTGACCCCTTGTTTCTGTGTCCCCCTCTCTGGAACATCCTATCTCTGTCCACCTTGTCTATTCCCCGCAGTATCTTGTATGTCGTTATTATGTCTCCCCTGACCCTTCTGTCCTCCAGTGTCATCAGTCCGATTTCCCTCAACCTTTCCTCGTACGACATTACCCTGAGCTCTAGGACTAGCCTTGTTGCAAACCTTTGTACTTTCTCTAACTTCTTGACGTGCTTGACCAGGTGTGGGTTCCAGACTGGTGCTGCATACTCCAGTATGGGCCTAACATACACAGTGTACAGTGTCTTGAACGATTCCTTATTAAGGTATCGGAACGCTATTCTCAGATTTGCAAGGCGCCCGTATGCTGCAGCAGTTATTTGGTTGATGTGTGCCTCTGGTGACGTGCTCGGTGTTATGGTCACCCCAAAGTCTTTCTCCCTGAGTGAGGTCTGTAGTCTTTGTCCACCTAGCGTATACTCTGTCTGCGGTCTTCTTTGCCCCTCCCCAATCTTCATGACTTTGCATTTGGCAGGGTTGAATTCGAGAAGCCAGTTTCTGGACCACATTTCCAGCCTGTCCAGGTCTCTTTGCAGTCCTGCCTCATTCTCATCCGATTTAATTCTTCTCATCAGCTTCACATCATCTGCGAATAGGGACACTTCAGAGTCTATTCCTTCCATCATGTCGTTCGCATATATCAAAAAGAGCACTGGTCCTAGAACTGACCCCTGTGGGAGCCCGCTCGTCACAGGCGCCCACTGTGATACCTCTTCACGTACAATGACTCGTTGTTGCCTCCCTGTCAGGTATTCCCTGATCCATTGCAGCGCCCTCCCTGTTATATGCGCCTGATCCTCCAGCTTCTGCACTAATCTCTTGTGGGGAACTGTGTCAAAGGCCTTCCTGCAGTTTAGGAAAACGCAATCTACCCACCCCTCTCTCTCGTGTCTTACTTCTGTTACCTTGTCATAAAACTCCAGGAGGTTTGTGATACAAGATTTGCCTTCCATGAACCCATGCTAGTTTTCATTTATAATCTTGTTCCGTTCCAGGTGTTCGACCACTCTCCTCCTGATAATCTTCTCCATGACTTTGCACACAATACATGTCAGAGAGACAGGTCTGTAGTTTAATGCCTCATTTCTGTTTCCTTTCTTAAATATGGGGACTACATTTGCTGTCTTCCATTTCTCAGGTAGTTGCCCAGTTTCAAGGGATGTGTTGAAGATTGTGGTTAGGGGCACGCACAGCATCTCTGCTCCTTCTCTAAGGACCCACGGGGAGATGTTGTCCGGTCCCATCGCCTTTGAGGTATCAAGGTCACTTAGCAGCTTCTGCACCTCCTCCTCGGTTGTTCGTATGTCATTCAACACTTGTTGGTATATTCCCTCTTGATGTTCCCTTTTGTGTTGTCTTCCCAGAGCCCTTCCTGTCTCGACTGTAAAAACTTCCTTAAATCTCCTGTTTAGCTCCTCACATAACTCCTGATCATTTCTTGTGAGCTCTCCACCTTCTGTCCTCAGTCTGATCACCTGGTCTTTGACTGTTGTCTCCCTCCTGATGTGGCTATACAACAGTTTCGGGTCAGTCTTGATTTTCGATGCTATGTTATTTTCATACTGTCGCTGGGCCTCCCTCCTTACCTGTGCATACTCATTCCTGGCTATGCGACTAATCTCCCTATTTTCATGTGTTCTCTGCCTTCTGTACTTTTTCCATTCTCTATTGCACTTTGTTTTTGCCTCCTTACACCGTCGTTCTGGTCTTCCCATTGTTTCTGTTGCCCTTGGGAATAAATCTTTCCACTGCCTCCTTGCATTTTGTTGTTACATATTCCATCATTTCATTTACTGGCTTTCCTGCCAGTTCTCTGTCCCACGGAACCTCCTGCAGGAAGTTCCTCAACCCTATGCAGTCCCCTCTTTTATAGTCTGGCTTTTCCCATTCAACTCCTGTTACTCTCTCCACTTGCAACTCTACTATGTATTCAAAGCACAGAACCACGTGGTCACTAGCTCCTAGGGGACTCTCATATGTGATGTCCTCAATGTCTGAACTGCCCAGGGTGAACGCAAGGTCCAATCTTGCTGGTTCATCCTCCCCTCTCATTCTGGTAGTGTCCTTAACATGTTGGTGCATGAGGTTTTCCAGCACCACATCCAACATCTTGGCTCTCCATGTTTCGGGACCCCCATGTGGCTCCAGGTTTTCCCAGTCAATCTCCCTGTGGTTGAAATCCCCCATAACCAGCAACTTTGCTCTGCTGGAGTGAGCTCTTCTTGCCACCTCAGCAAGTGTGTCCACCATTGCTCTGTTGCTCTCTTCATATTCCTCTCTTGGCCTCCTGCAGTTCTGTGGTGGATTATACATCACTGCAATGACCACCTTGTGCTCCCCAGACTGAAGTGTACCTACTATGTAGTCCCTTTCTCCTGTCTCGTCTATGCCTCCCATTTTCTCAAATTTCCATCGGCTTTTACGATCAGAGCAACCCCTCCTCCTTGTGTGTGTGTGTGTGCGTGTGTGTGTGAACATCATCATGTCATGGGTGTTTCAGGGACCTGTGTGTTAACGTCATGTCGATCGTCGAGGACCGCTACCAGGCCGTCGACTTCAGTGTACCCTACTTCAGCGATTCCTACAGCTTTATTATCAGCATTCCCCTGCCCCCTCCCCGCTGGTGGACCATCGTCCTTCCTTTTACGTAAGCACATTCATATATATATATATATATATATATATATATATATATATATATATATATATATATATATATATATATATATATATAATATATATATGTGTATGTATATGTATATATATGACTTACCGTCATTAATTCCAGGTTTAGTTGCCTAATCTATAAACTCTCTAGTATTTTTAAATTCAGTTTGCTCTATCCCTAGCTAAAAAAAGATCGTCGTAATAGCAATAATAATAAGAAGGCTCACACTCTAACAGCAACTTAACTCACATAAAACACGTCTGGTACAGGTGGGAGACCTGGCTCGGGGTAGCCACCTCAGTGGTCATCGTCTCCATGTTCCTCGCCCTATTCTTCAAGGTCAGGTCACCTTGCACTCTTCCTCAAGCTTAGGTCGTCAACATATATGTGCCTAATATGACTCTAGAAGAGAAAATACAATAATACAAAGTATGAAAGCAACAGAAAGCTTAATAAGCTTTCGCGGATTCTGTGTGTGTTTGAGTGTGTGTGTGTGTGTGTGTGTGTGTGTGTGTGTGTGTGTGTGTGTGTGTGTGTTTGAGTGTGTGTGTGTATGTGTGTGTGTGGTGTGTGTGTTTGAGTGTGTGTGTGTGTATGTGTGTGTGTGTGTGTGTGTGTTTGAGTGTGTGTGTGTGTATGTGTGTGCATGTGTGTGTTTGAGTGTGTGTGTGTTGTGTGTGTGTGTGTGTGTGTGTGTGTGTGTGTGTGTGTTGTGTGGTGTGTGTGTGTGTGTATGTGTGTGGTGGTGTGTAAGAGAGAGAGAGACGGGCACGCACACACACACACACACACGCACACACACACACACCACACACACACACACACACACACACACACACACACACACACACACACACACACACACACACACACACACACACACATACATACACACACACACACACACACACACACACACACACACACACACACACACACACATACACACACACACACACACACACACACATACACACACACACACACACACACACACACACACACACACACACACACACACACACTCACACACACACACACACACACACACACACACACATATATATAACCAAGGAGGAGGTGAAGAAGCTGCTATGCGAACTTGACACCTCAAAGGCGGTGGGACCAGACAACATCTCTCCATGGGTCCTTAAAGAGGGAGCAGAGATATTGTGTGAGCCATTAACAAAGATCTTCAACATATCATTTGAAACTGGGCAACTCCCTGAGGTATGGAAAAATGGCAAATGTAGTCCCAATTTTTAAAAAGGGAGACAGACATGAGGCACTAAACTACAGACCTGTATCACTAACGTGTATAGTATGCAAGGTCATGGAGAAGATCATCAGGAGGAGAGTGGTGGGGCACCTGGAAAGAAACAAGTGTATAATTGACAACCAACACGGTTTCAGGGAAGGAAAATCCTGTGTCACAAACCTACTAGAGTTTTATGACAAGGTGACAGAAGTAAGACAAGAGAGAGAGGGGTGGATCGACTGCATTTTTTTGGACTGCAAGAAGGCCTTCGACACAGTTCCTCACAAGAGGTTACTGCAAAAGCTAGAGGATCAGGCACACATAACAGGAAAGGCACTGCAATGGATCAGAGAATATCTGACAGGGAGGCAACAACGAGTCATGGTACGCGACGAGGTATCAGAGTGGCGCCTGTGACAAGCGGGGTTCCACAGGGGTCAGTCCTAGGACCTGTGCTGTTCTTGGTATATGTGAACGACATAACGGAAGGGATAGACTCAGAAGTGTCCTTGTTTGCAGATGATGCGAAGTTAATGAGAAGAATCAAATCGGATGAGGATCAGGCAGGACTACAAAGAGACCTGGACAGGCTACAAGCCTGGTCCAGTAACTGGCTCCTTGAATTTAACCCTGCCAAATGCAAAGTCATGAAGATTGGGGAAGGGCAAAGAAGACCGCAGACACAATATAATTTAGATGGCCAAAGACTGCAAACCTCACTCAAGGAAAAAGATCTGGGGGTGAGTATAACACCGAGCAAAATCTCCTGAGGCACACATCAATCAGATAACTGCTGCAGCATACGGGCGCCTGGCAAACCTACGGATAGCGTTCCGATACCTCAGTAAGGATTCGTTTAAGACTCTGTATACCATTTACGTCAGGCCCATACTGGAGTATGCAGCACCAGTTTGGAATCCACACCTAGTCAAGCACGTCAAGAAATTAGAGAAAGTGCAAAGGTTTGGAACAAGACTAGTCCCAGAGCTACGGGGATTGTCCTACGAAGAAAGGTTGAGGGAAATCGGCCTGACGACACTGGAGGACAGGAGGGTCAGGGGAGACATAATAACGACATATAAAATACTGCGCGGAATAGACAAGGTGGACAAAGACGGGATGTTCCAGAGATGGGACACAGACACAAGAGGTCACAATTGGAAGTTGAAGACTCAGATGAATCGAAGGGATGTTAGGAAGTATGTCTTCAGTCATAGAGTAGTCAGGCCGTGGAATAGCCTAGAAAGTGACGTAGTGGAGGCGGGAACCATACATAGTTTTAAGGCGAGGTATGATAGAGCTCATGGGGCAGGGAGAGAGAGGACCTAGTAGCAATCAGCGAAGAGGCGTGGCCAGGAGCTGTGTCTCGACCCCTGCAACCACAAATAGGCGAGTACAAATAGGTGAGTACACACACACACACACACACACACATACACACACACACACACACACACACACACACACACACAACACACACAGTCGAATGCTGAGGCACAACAAGGCTATCAAGAGCCACTGGAAAAATCAAGGGAGAAACTGACCACATACAGGCAGGATCCAGAGTCACAGAGGGTGAGGCAATGCGAGGAAGAAAGGGCAAAATCAGTGTTTATCCATGGGCTTCAGGAGAGAGAGGAAAGGACACACACTGAAAGGAAGCAGGAAGAAAGGAAGGAGATTGAGAAAATCATCACAGAAATAGGTGAAGAGAGGGACGAGATTGTAAATTTTCAGAGAATAGGGGGGTACTCGAAGGAGAGAACCGACCAATCAAGCGATTCTCAGGACGGAAACAGTGCGGAACAGGATCCTCCAAGAGAAACCACGATTGAAATACTCGGAAGAGTACAAGAGGGTGTCTAGCAGAGACAGAACAAAATCAGAACGACACAGCTGAGGGAGGGACAAAAAGCGAAAGGAGCTAGGGAAAGAGCAAGGAGGGAACCAGCAGAGGCAGTCGAGCAGGACAGAACAGCAAGGGCAAGCACACACACAACTACTCCAGAACATACAACCTATCACACCATCCCAACACACCCTACAATCCATACCCACAGCCTCCACCCAACCAAGCTAAGAAACAGGGGAAGGCCCCCCCCCAAAGGCCCCCAAAAAACAGGGGAAAAAAAGCAGGACAAAACGCAGGTTTGGGGGGGGTTTGGGGGGGGGGCCCGGGGGGGTTTTTAAGTTTTTTTTGGGGGGGGGGGTTTTTGGGGGGGGGTTTTTTTGGAAATTTTTTTTCCCAAAAATTTTTTCCCCGGTTTTTTTCCCAAAAGGGGGGTTTTTTTAACGGTTTTTTAAACCCCCGGGTTTTTTCCCCCGGGGGTTGGGGGGTTTTTTTTTCCTTTTTCCCAAAAAAAATTTTTTGGGGGGTTTTTTTTCCCCCAAAAACCCCCTTTTTCCCTAAATAAAAGGGTTTTTTTCCCCCCTTTTCCCCCTTTTAAACCCCCTTTTTTTGGGGGTTTTTTAATTTTCCCCCGGGGGCCCTTGGGGGGGTTTTTTTTTTGGGGGAAAAGGGGGGGGCCCCTTTTTCCCCCTGCCCCCCCGGGGGTTTTTGGGGTTTTTTTCCCCAAATTTTCCAAAAAACCCCCCCCCCAAAAACCCACCCCCCCCAACCAAAAAAAACCCCCTTTTTTTTTTTTGGGCCAAAAATTAAAATTTTCCCTTCCGGGGGGAAAATTTAAATTTTTTTTTTGGGGGGGGCCCCCCCTTTTTTAAAAAAAGGGGGTTTTTCCCCCAAAAGGGGGGGGAAAAAATTTTTTTAAAAATTTTTTCCCCCGGGGGGCCCCCCCAAAAAATTTTTAAAAAATTTTCCCCCCTTTTTTTTCCCCCCAAGCCCCCCAAACCCCCCCCCCCCCCCCCCAAAAAAAAAACCCCCCCTTTTTTTTTTTTTTTTTTTTTTTTTTTTTTTAAAAAAAAAAAAGGGGGGGGGAAAAAAAAAAACCCAAAAAAAAGGGGGAAAAAAAAAAAAAAAAAAACCCCAAAAAACCCAAAAAAAAAAAAAAAAAAAGGGGGAAGGGGGGAAAAAAGGGGGGAAAAAAAGGGGAAAGGGGGGGGGGGGGAAAAAAAAGGGGGAAAAAAAAAAGGGGAAAAAAAAGGGAAAAAAAAAAAGGGGGAAAGGGAAAAAGGGGGGGGAAAAAAAAAAGGGGGGAAAAAAAGGGGCCCCCCGGGGGGAAAAAAAGGGGGAAAAGAAGGGGGAAAAAAGGGGGGGAGGGGGGGGGAAAAAAAAAAAAAAAGGAGGGAGAGGGGGGGAAAAAAGGGGGGGAAAAAAAAAGGGGGAAAAAAAAGGGGGGGGCCCAAGGGGGAAAAGGGGGGAAAAAAAAAAAAAAGGAAAAAAAGGGGAAAAAAAAGGGAAAAAAAGGGGAAAAGGCGGAGGGGAAAAAAAAGGGAGGGCAAAAAAAAGGGGAAAAAAAAGGAGAAAAAGGGGGGGGCCCGGGGGGGGGGAAAAAAGGGGGGAAAAGGGGGAGGGGGAAAAAAAGGGGAAAAAAAAGGGGGGGAAAAAAGAGAAAAGGAGAGGGAAAGGGGGGGAAAAAAAAAAAAAAGGGGGGGGGGGAAAAAAAAAAAGGGGGCCCGGGGGAAGGAAAAAAAAAAAAAAAAAAAAAGGGGGGGAAAAAGGGGGGGAAAAAAAAAAGGGGGGGAAAAAGGAAAAAAAAAAAGGGGAAAAAAAAAAAAGGGGAAAAAAAACCCGGGGGGGGGAAAAAAGGGGGGAAGGGGGAAAAAAAGGAAAAAAAAAAGGGGGGAAGGGAGGGGGGGGAAAAGGGAAAAAAAAAAAAAGGGGCCCAGGGGAAAAAAGGTGGGGGGGAAAAAAAACGGAAGGGGGGGGGAAAGAAAAAAAGGGAAAAAAAAGGGGGGAAAAAAAGGGGGGGGGAAAAAAGGAAAAAAAAGGGAAAAAAAGGGGGGGGAAAAGAAAAAAAAAAGGAAAGGGGGGAAAAAAAAAAATTAAAAAAAGGGGGGAAAAAAAAAAAAAAGGGGGGGGGTTTTTTTTTGGGGGAAGGGGGGGGGGAAAGGGGGGGGGTTTGGGGGGGGTTTTTTTTTTTTAAAAAAAAAGGGGGGGGGGCCCGGGGGGGGGCCCCCCTTCCGGCCCCCCCCAAAAAAAAGGGGTTTTTTTTTAAAAGCCCCCCCTTTCCCCCGGGGAAACCCCCCCCTTTTAAAGGGAAGAAAAATTTTTTTTTAAAAAAATTTTTAATTTTTAAAAAAAATTTTTAAAAAAAAAAAAATTTTAAAAAAAAAACAAAAATTTTTTAAACAAAAAATTTTTAAATTTTAAAAATTTTAAATTTTTTAAAAAATTTTAAAAAAATTTTAAAAAAAAAAAAAATTTTTTTTTAAAAAAAAAATTTTAAAAAAAAATTTTTTAAAAAAATTTAAATTTTTTAAAAAAAAAAAAAAAAAATTTTTAATTTTTTTTTAAAAAATTTTTAAAAAAAAAATTTTAAAAAAAAATTTTTTTAAAAAAAAAAAAATTTTTTAAAATAAAAAAAAAAATTTTTTAAAAAAAAAAAAAAAAAATTTTTTTTAAAAAAAATTTTTTTCCGGTTTTTTGGGGAAAAAAAAAAAAAATTTTTTTTTTTTTTTGGGGGGAAAAAAAAAATGGGAAAGGGCCAAAAAAAAAGGGGGGCCCCAAAAAAAACCCCAAAAAACCCGGGGGGAAAAAATTTTTGGGGAAAGGGTGTGTGGTGTGTGGTGTGTGTGGGTGTGTGTGTGTGTGGTGTGTGTTGGTGGTGTGTGTGTGTGGTGTGTGTGTGTGTGAAAATCTCATGTCATGGGTGTTTCAGGGCCCGTGTTTTAAAACGCTGTCGATCGTCGGGGACCCGTTACCGGCCGTCGACTTCGTGTACCCTCTTCAGCGATTCCTGCAGCTTCATATAAATTTCCCCCTCCCTCCCCCCCGTGGGGGACCTCGTCCCCTTTTACGTAAGCACTTTTATAATATATATAATATATATATTTTAATTTATATATTTATATTTTATTTATAATTATTATATATATATTATTTATATATAAAATTATATTTATATTATAATATATAATATTTTTTAAATATATTTAAAAATATATATATTTATATATTAAATTTATATAATATAAAAATATATATTAAAAATTTTTTTAAATAAATAAAATAATATAATTATATTATAAATTATATATAATATATAATATATTATATAATACAATTGTTATTATATAAAAATTATATAATATAAAAATAATTATAAATATATATATATATATAAAAATTTTTAAATATATTTATATATATAATATATATATTTTTTTATAAATTATATTTTTATTTTTAATATATATTTTATATATATATATATATATATAATATTTATATATATATAATATAATATAAAATAATATATTATATATAATAATAATATATATAAAAATTTTATATAATATATATACTTACCGTCATTAATTCCGGGTTTAATTGCCTAATCTAAAACTCTCTAGTATTTTTAAAATTCAGTTTGCTCCATCCACTAAAAAAAGATCGTCTAATAGCAATAATAATAAGAAGGCTCACCTCTAACACAACTTAAAAAAAAAAAACGTCTGGTACAGGGGGGGAGACCTGCTTCGGGTAGCCACCTCAGTGGTCATCGTCTCCATGTCCTCGCCCTATTCTTCAAGGTCAGGTCACCTTGCACTCTTCCTCAAGGTTAGGTCGTCAACATATATGTGCCTAATATGACTCTAGAAGACAAAATACAATAACGCTAAGTAGGAAAGCAACAGAAAGCTTAATAAGCTTTCGCGGATTCTGTGTGTGTTTGAGTGTGTGTGGTGTGTGTGGTGTGTGTGTGTGTGTGTGTGTGTGTGTGTGTGTGTGTGTGTGTGTGTGGTGTGTGTGTGGTGTGGTGTGTGTGTGAGTGTGTGTGTGTGTGTGTGTGTGTGTGTGTGTGTGTGTGTGTGTGTGTGTGTGTGAAGAGAGAGAGATACGACAGCACACACACACACCACACACACACACAACACACACACACACACACACACACACACACACACACACACACACACACACACACACACACACACACACACACACACACACACACACACACACACACACACACACACACACACACACACACACACACACACACACACACACAGAATTTCAACAGGTAGCAGGTGTGTGAGAGATTCTTATCTCAGCAGGTAGCGGGTATAGCGTGGACTGCAAGTAACGTGGTGCTACAAGTGGTAGGAACGTTACTGAATCAAGACATAAGTCAGCCTACTTTCCTCTCCTCGCTGAGGTAAGTGGCTGATGTCTCCACTAACTTTATCTTTACCAACAATGTCAGCACCGTCAATAGTTTCAGCACTGTTAACACCACTTCTCAGACACATAGAACAAAAACCACTTCTCTAGAATCCTCCTAAAGTGGCCAGGCTACATAGCGTTTCTTACGTCTTTATTCCTGTCTACCCTCAACCTTTCTTACTTCTCTATTCCTGTTGACCTTCAACTTTTCTTCTTCCTTCCTTTCTACCCTCAACTTTTCTTACTTCTTCCTGTCCATCTTCAATCATCCGTAGCTTTTTTTTTTTTAATGCTCTCGATTTTTTTTTTTTTGTGGAGAGGAGTGGGGTTAAGGACAAAAATGTATGGATGATAACTGTAGTTCCATTACATTATGCTGTGTGATCTCTTATTTATATGGTTGATTCTTTCTTCTTAATATTCAAAGGGACTCAGCTCCCCTTTATCTAGCTATCAGAATATTCACATGGACTCAGTTCTTCTCTTTCTTCCCATAGAAACATTAAGCGAGGCTCAGCTCTCCTCTGTATCTCCTAATAAAACATTCAGAGGGACCCAGCTCCTCTTTGTATCTTCTTGTCAGATCATTCAAGGGAACCCAGATCCTATACACCCTCCCATCAAAACATTCAGAGGGACTCAACTTCTCTTTCTCTCTCCTCATCAGAATATTCAGGGGAACGTGGCTGATGCTGGCGATGATTCTCTCTATCTCGTACACAGGGAACCTGGTCGCCTACATCACTGTGCCGGTCAAGGCTCACCGTCTCACCTCCCTCAGGGAACTTTCAGAGTCCTCCCTCACGTAACTACCTTCCATATAATAGACTGGGCTGAACATATATAAAGAAACATTTAAATCAGAGAATGCCGTAGTGTTTAGACAGAAATTAAAATATATCTTTATTTTCCTGAAAAATATTAGATTGTTTATTCATCTCTGAAAGTATATATCCCTATAATATTTTTTGTGATCCTTCTATTATTCAAAGAATAACTAAGCAGGTGATGTAGGCAATATGTCTAATGTTATAATCATGAGGAAACACTGAAACCATATGGGGTCATACATGCCAGGTTGGGATAATCTGGTTCGAAGGACAAACCAATGAATTTTTTCCCCTCCATCGACGCAGGCCCATCATGGCAGACTATGGAAACTTTGTGCCTGGAGCTCTCAGGTCTTCAGAGCATCCGACCCTGAGTGCCCTAGGCAAGAAGTTGAAGCTCATTCCCAAGGATGCCTATGCCCTCGGTTTTCAGCAGGTGTGTAGGTGAGGGTTAGTAAAAGTAAGATGAACTTATGCCATACTTTTGGAATCCCATATGGTGGATTAGGCTAGGCGAACATTGGTCACATACGTCCAGAAAATGGAAAAATTACTGAGAACTCCTGAACGGCTTATACAACAAGCGATATAAAATACTCGTCCTTACTGATAAACAAGAGATAAAAATCGCAATATCTTGACTGCCACAATACACAAATGATTCATAAATGTCACAATACCATGACTACAATCACTCACAACTAATCCATAAACCAGAGAGAAAACGCAGTTTATTTTCAGTTTCAATTTTTTTATGGGGTTAATTGTCATTTTAAAAAATACTGGGATTTTGCAGGTACGAAAGGGAACCTACGCCCTGCTGGAGGGCACAGAATTTATCGAGTACCTGGTGATCGCCCACCACCAGGCTGCTACCACCTACTTCCTGCCGGAAATCCTCTATCCGATAGGCAGTAGGTTGGATCTACCCGAAGAAGACTCCCTGGAAGCACAAGTTCGACCCTTACCTTCAAGCCTTCGTGGAGTCTGGTCTCTGCCACTACTGGAAGAAGGTACTGAGATTGTTGATGCCAGCTAATTCGTCAGGAAAATCCCCCCCTGTCAAGGATCTTTGTCATATAACGAGGCATTCAGTGGTGCCACTGACCATCCGGGGAAGGCTGGTGTGCATTGGTATAGAGAGTGGGACCTATGTTACTCTTCCCAGGGTATAGTAAAGTACCTAGATGGATGAATCTAATTTGGTGGAATCTAGTTGAATCTCTGCTATTTCGAGTCTTTTAAGATCATTTTTCGTGATTTTGAAATTACCATGACAGTGTTTATTGATTGTGTATATAGGGTAATAAAGAATTTTGTAGAGAGGATAGAAGGAAAAGGTTGACTGGGTTGAGGAAAGGATGGGATGGAATGTGGAAAAGAAAACAGATTTCGATATCATGTCCATTGTTCTCTTCAAATCGTGTATGTACAGGTGCTGGTATCTGACTTCATGAAGAAGGAGGGAGATACACTTCACGAGGACTCTAGCGACACAGCCAGACCACTGAGCCTTCAGGACCTCCAGGTACTCCTAAAGGATTCATATCCTATCCTGTAGGACTCATACCCTAGCCTGTAGGATTCACTTTCCTTCTCAGCAGTAGGAGGTAACAAGCACGTCACACAGGCAACGAAGTAGACACCTCCTCCACCGTATAACTGTTGAATCGTAGCTCCTGCCCCCTCTTCTGTAATGCCACCAGTACTATTTACAGCAGCAGTACCACAATCTATACTAATCTAGCTAATATTCTTCTCGACAGGGAGCCTTCACCATCTTGGGTTTCTGTCTGTTGTTCACCATCCTGGCTGGACTCCGCGAGATCTTCTTTACTTCCCAGAATCCGACTGAGAATTCTTCAGCAAATGGACGGAAATTGTAGTTTATTAATCGACGCTGCATCTGATGGATCGACACTATCATCTGATGGATCGACACTATCATCTGATGGATCGACACTATCATCTGATGGATCGACACTATCATCTGATGGATCGACACTATCATCTGATGGATCGACACTATCATCTGATGGATCGACACTATCATCTGATGGATCGACACTATCATCTGATGGATCGACACTATCATCTGATGGATCGACACTAGCATCTGATGGATCGACACTATCATCTGATGGATCGACACTATCATCTGATGGATCGACACTATCATCTGATGGATCGACACTATCATCTGATGGATCGACACTATCATCTGATGGATCGACACTATCATCTGATGGATCGACACTATCATCTGATGGATCGACACTAGCATCTGATGGATCGACACTATCATCTGATGGATCGACACTATCATCTGATGGATCGACACTATCATCTGATGGATCGACACTAGCATCTGATGGATCGACACTATCATCTGATGGATCAACCGTATATCCGATGGATCGACGCTACATTTAGTAGATTAGAGCTACAATGAGTAATAATAATAATAATAATAATAATAATAATAATAATAAAAATAATAATAATAAAATAATAATAATAATAATAATAATAATAATAATATATTATTATTATTATTATTATTATTATTATATCATTATTATTATTATTATTATTATTATTATTATTATTATTATTATTATTATTATTATTATTATTATTATTATTATTATTATTTATTATTATTATTATTAAATATTAATATAATTTCTAATTGTAGTTACGGTGTCTTGATCAACCACAATTCCCTTGTCGTGCCGTATTGTTATTTTGGCTTAAAATAGCAACGCTCTTCTTGCCGAATAAGGTAAGCGAAAATTTGTGTATACAATAATTTCGCAAAAAATCATTCTGAGCCTAACGAGAAAACATAGATATCATTGTGATTGTTTATTATTAAATTATTGTAAACTTATCTAAAATATAGTTAGTTGGATTAGGCTAAATTAAATCGCGCTTGTTATAATAAGGTCAGGTAATTTTTCTAAGGTTCTTTTGGTACAAAATTATTAATTTTTACATTAACAAAAATAAAAAAATGTATCTTCAAAAGTATAAACTCTGGCACTATGCCGTATTTGTGTCTATTTTTTTCCGCTATGATAAGAGAAAGAGCAATATCTTGCAGGGCAAGGGAGTGAGCTAGCTCTACACTCACAGTGCAGGAGAGTGAGCTAGCTCTACACTCACAGTGCAGGAGAGTGAGCTAGCTCTACACTCACAGTGCAGGAGAGTGAGCTAGCTCTACACTCACAGTGCAGGGGAGTGAGCTAGCTCTACACTCACAGTGCAGGAGAGTGAGCTAGCTCTACACTCACAGTGCAGGGGAGTGAGCTAGCTCTACACTCACAGTGCAAGGGAGTGAGCTAGCTCTACACTCACAGTGCAGGGGAGTGAGCTAGCTCTACACTCACAGTGCAAGGGAGTGAGCTAGCTCTACACTAACAGTGCAGGGGAGTGAGCTAGCTCTACACTCACAGTGCAGGGGAGTGAGCTAGCTCTACACTCACAGTGCAGGGGAGTGAGCTAGCTCTACACTCACAGTGCAGGGGAGTGAGCTAGCTCTACACTCACAGTGCAGGAGAGTGAGCTAGCTCTACACTCACAGTGCAGGGGAGTGAGCTAGCTCTACACTCACAGTGCAGGGGAGTGAGCTAGCTCTACACTCACATTGCAGGGGAGTGAGCCAGCTCTACACTCACAGTGCAGGGGAGTGAGCTAGCTCTACACTCACAGTGCAGGGGAGTGAGCTAGCTCTACACTCACAGTGCAGGGGAGTGAGCCAGCTCTACACTCACAGTGCAGGGGAGTGAGCTAGCTCTACACTCACAGTGCAGGGGAGTGAGCAAGCTCTACACTCACAGTGCAGGGGAGTGAGCTAGCTCTACACTCACAGTGCAGGAGAGTGAGCTAGCTCTACACTCACAGTGCAGGGGAGTGAGCTAGCTCTACACTCACAGTGCAGGGGAGTGAGCTAGCTCTACACTCACAGTGCAGGGGAGTGAGCTAGCTCTACACTCACATTGCAGGGGAGTGAGCTAGCTCTACACTCACAGTGCAGGGGAGTGAGCTAGCTCTACACTCACAGTGCAAGGGAGTGAGCTAGCTCTACACTCACAGTGCAGGGGAGTGAGCTAGCTCTACACTCACAGTGCAAGGGAGTGAGCTAGCTCTACACTCACAGTGCAGGGGAGTGAGCTAGCTCTACACTCACAGTGCAGGGGAGTGAGCTAGCTCTACACTCACAGTGCAGGGGAGTGAGCTAGCTCTACACTCACAGTGCAGGGGAGTGAGCTAGCTCTACACTCACAGTGCAGGGGAGTGAGCAAGTTCTACACTCACACAACAGAGGAGTAAGCAAGTTCTACACTCACACAACAGGGGAGTGAGCTAGCTCTACACTCACTCCTCTCTCTTATAGACTCACCTCTACACTAACAACAACAAACACCTGTCGTTGTGATACACACGTAAGCGCCTTTTTTAATACGTCATGTACGTCAGGGAGAGTGATTAATTATGGTATTGTTACTGGGGCAGCTGGTTTGATTCTCAGCGCCTTTGGCTGAACCACCTTTCTCTCTCTCTCTCTCTCTCTCTCTCTCTCTCTCTCTCTCTCTCTCTCTCTCTCTCTCTCTCTCTCTCTCTCTCTCTCTCTCTCTCTCTCTCTCTCTCTCTATCTATCTATCTATATATCTATCTATCTAGCCAAGACTGAACTCGCCGCAATGATTTTAAGCTGGAAAAATTCAGATTCAGGAAGGATATAGGAAAGCACTGGTTTGGTAGCAGAGTTGTGGATGAGTGGAACAAACTCCCGAGTACAGTTATTCAGGCTAAAACGTTGTGTAGTTTTAAAAATAGGTTAGATAAATACATGAGTGGGTGTGGGTGGGTGTGAGTTGGACCTGACTAGCTTGTGCTACTAGGTCTGATGTCGTGCTCTAGGTCTGAGCCGGGGGGTGACATGGACCTGCCTCGCATTGACTAGTAGGCCTGTTGCAGTGTTCCTTCTTTCTTGTGTTCTTGTGTTGATGAGTTCTCTCTTCTCTCTCTCTCTTCTCTCTTCTCTCTCTCTCTCTCTCTCTCTCTCTCTCTCTCTCTCTCTCTCTCTCTCTCTCTCTCTCTCTCTCTCTACTCTCTCTCTCTCTCTCCCTCTCTCTCTCTCTCTCTCTCTCTCTCTCTCTCTCTCTCTCTCTCTCTCTCTCTCTCTCTCTCTCTCTCTCTCTCTCTCTCTTTTTTTTTTTTTTTTTTTTTTTTTTTTTTTTTTTTTTTTTTTTTTTTTACACAGGGTTTGACAGGTTAAGGATCCCTAGCTTTATTGACAGCTATTTACAGGTTAAGGATTCCTAACTTTATTGGCAAGCTAAGAGCTATTACCTACATCAGCTCATTTGAAAGCATTTTTATTGTTATGAGACATACAAGTAGGGAACAGGATGAAGTTGGAGCCATCTGTGGGCCAACATTTTCATTTGATCAACTGACTTTATCTCGTTGACATCATTATGCTGTACGAATGTGTTCCATACTCGAGTCATCCTGGGTATGTATGATCTCAGATGGAGTGATGTTCTGGAGAAGGGTACAGCCAGAGTGAAGTTGCTGCTTTCTGCCCGTCTTGTGGCATAAACGCTTGTTTCACGCTGTCCTCGAAGTGGATCCAAGTGTGGTATTTTGACAATATTGGCCTTGTACATAACAGTAAGGCCACCCACATCCCTCCTATGTTGAAGGCTCTGCTGGAATGACAGATCTATCCAGGATGGGTCCAGGCGAGAGATGAGACGTCTTGCTCTGTTCTCTACTCTGTCAAGCAGTCGCAGATGAGAGGGGGGTCTCTCTCTCTCTCTCTCTCTCTCTCTCTCTCTCTCTCTGATATGATCCATTTAAATTGCTAGTCCTTCCTCATTTTAACTTGCTTCAGATGATGCAGCCGTGAGAGCATCTCAGTGAGTGGGAAGCTGGAGTTGCTTGTTCTGTTATAATAATAATAATAATAATAATAATAATAATAATAATAATAATAATAATAATAATAATAATAATAATAATAATAATAATAATAAAGTGAAGAAAAAGAAGAAGATGAAGAAGAATAAGAATAAGACTTTCTCCAGAGTTTTAACCCAGGATGGTTAATTAACCAGTATAACTCAAAACGTCAAACCAATGGTACCTATTTCCACTGGGATCGTAGGAACATTATTGCAGGGGAAATATAAACTGGAAATGTAAACAACAACAACAAGACGAAGGGAATCACAACATCTGGACATCTTGAAACACATTCTCTTGATATCTTCCGGACTGACGCACTCTCCTTAGATACCACAGAGTGTGTTATCTTGTTATTGAAGGTCAGACAGCTGGTGAAGGCTGGTCCTGATGTCAGCCTTGGGTATACACTGAGTTCTTGTATACCCACTATACCCACTGAATTTATGCTCCCACAGAGTTGCTCTATTAAGTTTCAGTTGTTCCTGTTCTTTTTTACCAGTTTGGTTTCAGTTAGACTAATTACATCAGGTTTATTTTCGTTTTAAATGTTCTTTAGTTCTAGCCTTTTTTGTTAAATACTCAATGTTATTATATAAAATCATCAGATATGTGTTTTTCTCATTATTTATTTTCTCTCCATTTGTTTTAGTTTGATTTCTGTCTATCCTGTGCTCGAGTCTGAGAAATCAATTGTGTACTTATAAGGGGTAGTAGGGGTTGTGTCTCAGCTTTTCGCCCCATCTCTGTTTCTCTCGGTATTTTGCATGCCATGATTATATCACCTCTGGTTCGTTTGTCCTCCAGTGTCATCAGGTTTAACTCATATTCCTTGGTTCTTGGACTAATCTTGTTGCAAACCTCTTCACCTTTTCCATTTTCTTGACATTATCGATCAAGTGTGGTATCCACACTGGTGTCACATACTCGAAGTTAAGCCTCACAAACATCGTGAACAGTATTGTGACTGGCTCTTTGCTCTGTTTCCAGACTGCTAATGTTATATTCACTAAACGAGCAATTGCTGTAGAGGTTATTTTGTTGATGAGTACTCAAGCATAAACACAAGGTTTACTGGGTCTCTGGTAAGCAACAGCTGCCACGATCACACTGGTGAGAAGCGCTCATTTGAGTATATAAGAGAGAAGGGAAGACCCATCAGCACCACAGACTTCTGCAGTCATGGTTACTGGTGTTCTGGTGAAGACCTGCCTGCTGGGGGCGCTCGCCCTCCTCTGCATAGGTATGAACTAGTTTAACAAACACAGGCAACCACATATAGTAGCAATCATAAATTCGAGTACAGTCTTCTTTACGGTCCCGTCATTAAGCCTCCCATTTTTCAAGCCCATGCCACTCACCACTCACATTTCCTCACGCCAACAGATGGCGCCCACGCTGACGAGAACCCATGCGCGGCTACGGGCATGACACCCTACGATTACAAGCAGGTAAGTCTTGCTTCTGTCTGACGCTGTTTAGACAAAATTAAACGAAGAGACTAAGCATGTTTTAACCAATGTTTGCAGTGTTTCACACAAAAACAAATGCATTGTTTACTGTACTTGGTTAGAAGTTGTTTGAAGATTGAAATCAGAAATGGCTGAGGATGGAGTTGTCATTTATAATAACGAATCAACTCCTAGCGTTGAAATGCCCTGTTTATTTAATATGTTTACTTACAAGAAAAATCGGTCGAGACAAAAATCTGAAATCTAAATTTTTTATTCTACTTTCCAAGTTCCACATGAACTCTTCTCCTGACTTGGTCTTGTAAATTTTCTCTTACACCTTCTTACACCCACAGGCGCTCTGTATGTCATTCTTCTTCTACGAAGCCCAACGGTCCGGTAAACTACCAGCAAATAACCGCGTCTCATGGCGAGGCGACTCTGCCCTAAACGACGGTGCTGATGTGGGCCATGACCTTAGTGGTGGCTACTACGATGGTAAGCAATCATACCCTCACACATTGAAGGAATGAGGAACAAGGAGGATACAATCATAACATACAAAATACTTCGGGACATTATTAGGGTAGATAAGTTCTTGGCTGGATATATCACAAGAATTAAAGGATGTAATTGAAAATTACTCATTCCTATAGACCAAAGTAACATGAAAACATTTCTTTGACATAAGAAATAGAAGTGAAATAATGTGTTTAATGGGAAGCAGACAGTATGCAAGTTTAAAAGCATGGAATGACGGGGTTTTTTGATGTCAGTCAATCTTAATCTTAGATTAGGGATCATTACACAAACTCATATAGGAAATCATCAGTTTTTTTAATTGTACAGAAGAAAGAAGACTTTTATTGCAGAGCGAACGTTTTATTTGCGCAATATTTCGATCACAGAGAGAGGTTTTTCAAGGTACTGTGACTTGTTATTATATGACATTCTCATTTGAATCGTTCCTGTCTGCCACTTTTTTTTTTTTGGTAATTCACTCAGGTAATTACAACATCTTTCATTTCTTCCACAGCTGGCGACTTGGTCAAGTTCGGCTTCCCATTGGCCTTCACCGTCACCATGTTGTCCTGGGGCCTCCTAGAGTTCCCTAATGGCTATAGTCAAGCTGGTGAGTTATCTCTCTCTCACTACTTATTTTCCTCCTGCTGATGATTGTGAGTTATTTCTTTCTCTACTACTTATTGTGTTGCTGGTCGGGTGAGATTGTTCTTACTCTGCAGTTCTATGATTTATCCTCCTGGTGATGGTGTTGTATCTCTCTGCTGGTACAGGCGGACCATTGGATCTTATTCTTGTCCATTCTTCATGCTGCTCTTTCTTTGCTCTCTTTTTCTCTCCTTGCTCAGCTTTATTTACTTTTCATTTAATAACAAATATCTTTCCTCTAATGTGGATGGAGGTTAACGCGAGAGCAACTACTGAACTGTCAATGAGTGGAACAAGCTGTCAAGAAGCGTCATTTCAATATATACTGAATGGCAGTGAGTTAGTTTGAGTAAGATCTACCTAGCAGAGGGTAACAGGTCGACTGCAATACTTCTCTTTTACAGCGTTTTAAAACGTTAAATCCCAAGAGGACGCAAGATAAAACAGACTTTAGAAGATCTTCATAATTCAGCATCAATTCTGTTTGTTTTCCCACTGTGACGGATTTAGTTTCTCATGTATTACTGTTTATGAAGTTGAAATTATATTGTCGTGGTTTTTTTGCCCACAGGCCAGACTGATTATTTGTTGGACACCATCAAGTGGGCTACTGACTACATGTTCAAGTGTCACACCGGATATAATGAGTATTATGGACAGGTGAGCAGCTACTCTGTTCTGTGTAGTAGTTGTGATGTGGGAACACCAGCAGGGTGAAGGACGTAATGGTAATACCCGCAGTGAGAGGCTCTCCTATTCTATATTACGGTTACATAGTGGGACTAAAAAAATATGCTTTTTCTGTATATATGAAGTAATGATATATGAACCTAAGCATCTTAGTGAATAAGAGAGATAATTGGCTTCACCTTATTTGCTGTTGGTAAAAAAGACATTTATACAAACAAGAGAGAATTACAGATTTTCTAACTTTTTTACAGGCCGGAAATGGTGAAATTGACCACGCCCTGTGGAGTCGACCTGAAACAATGACCGAGGAGCGACCTTCTTACAAGATTGATCAAGCAAACCCTGGTAAGTGTAATTGTGCCCTGATAATTCTGTTTGGTCAGTTGGGGTCCTGATGACCCTTACTGGTCAATGAGAGTCCTGATGACCCTCGCGGGTTAATCAGAGTCCTGATGACTCTTGCGTTTCAGAGTTTTGTTGACTATTGATGGAAGTATTCTATATGAGTGTACTGACAAACTAGAAGAGTTGATGAATAACACTTGTATCTTTACTGCCTAAAGGTGCACGTGCATCAAAGGTTTCTTCAATCGAATAGTGACGATTTTAATACTTTAGAGAGTGGGAGAAGAGGAGAGGCAGAGTAGAGGAGTGAGTAATTGGTATTTCTTCTGGTTCCAGGTTCGGACTTGGCTGCTGAGACAGCTGCTGCTCTTGCTGCTGGCTACATGGTGTACAAGGTGAGGATTCTCTAAGTCTGTTTCACTTTCTAGTTACTCCATTACTGTTGTTTATTTTGTATTCAATATTTACTTCACTACTTGCCTCCCCTCTCACTCAGTCACTTCCCTCCTCAGAGTAGGGACGCAAACTACGCTAATCAGATGCTCGATATGTCCAAAGAAATGTACGAGTTTGCTGACAATTTCCGTCAAACCTACGACATTTCGATCCCCGACGCCTATAACTGGTACCGGTAAGTGCATGTTTGATTCGAGGATAATGATATGGTAACTCCAACTCCCTGGTTCAGGCCAACTGAGTTCCTTCCTGTCTGCCATTATTCATATAATTTCAATAAATGCTTTCGATATTTACGTTATATGTTAAGAATAGATAATTTTGTATATAATTAATTGGTTCTTCGTGTTTGACGACTACTGGAGGCTTGATTCTCCTCCAGGCAGTCACCATCTCTGATTGGTCAGGCTCCTGGAGAATGAATCTTGCGTCTTTCACCCTATAACAACTTTAGTCTGTGTATGTCTGCAGTTCATGGAGTGGGTATGGTGACGAGCTGGTCTGGGCTGGTCTGTGGCTGTATAGAGCGACAGGAGATGAGTCCTATCTCAACCGCGCCAGGGGTCATTGGAGCGAGTTCAACCTGCAGTATTCCGAGGCTCGTCAGTTCTCCTGGGACGACAAGAAAGCTGGAGTCTATGTAAGTCTTGTTGCATAAGAGGATTTATTGTCAACAAGTATGAAGATAAAAACTTAAGTTTCGCTCCGTTTAGTGCTTTATCATGTCATGAATTGATGTAGCTCTACACAGAGCGACTCTGTCGCAAAACAAATTATTCTCCAACATGTGATTTTAGCTTCATGTTAATCTTCCTGTTATAGAGTTTTAAATCTTAGACTGTCATCTTGAGGACGAAATACAAAGTTCTCCTTGAGCTTTTTTCCATGTGTCTTTAAGTCTGTCTGCTACATATTAAAAAAATTGCTCAATGGTCTACTCGTGATTCCCACAGGCTCTCTTCTGGCTACTGGACGGCTCACAGACCTACCTGGACCACCTTAACACGTACTTCAATTACCTAAGGAACCAGGCCGCGTATACCCCAGAAGGCCTGCTCTACCTAGACGAGTGGGGCCCAGCCAGACATGCTGCTAATGTTGCCTACCTTGCTCTCTGGGTCAGTTCTTTGCCTTTCTTTCTGCACTCATAAATTCTTTTAATTCATTGGCCATTTCCCACCAAGGTAGCGAGACCCAGTGAAGGAAACACATTGGACGTTATTTAGTTGACAGCATTTTTGGCCTTGAGGGCAGATATCACATTTCGATTACCCAGGTCTGCTTTAGAGTACAAGCACTTTACTTGCCACCTCCAGGACTAAAGTTCTCCTGCAATAACGCGCAACTTTTTCATTTCAAGGCTGCCAAATATGGTGTAGACGCATCAACGAACAATCAGTGGGCTCAAGGTCAGATGAACCAGCTTCTTGGTGCCAACTCTCGCTACCAAATGAGCTTCGTTGTGGGCTTCGGTGACAAGTATCCTGAGAGACCTCATCACCGTCCCAGGTACACACATGGCGATTTTTCACTCCGTTTTTGATCATTATCAACTATGAACTTCGAAAAGCCGTCTTGTTTCCATTAAGAAATATCAGATTTTTTTTTAGCTACTGCATCGTGACTGAAACAAGAACTGTAGATTTGAAAATCGCAGATGAGACAAAATTTGAGTTTTCTAACGTGATCTGTCTCTGATTTTCAGCTCATGTCCCGACCTTCCTGAGGTTTGCGACTACGGATGGGCTTACAGCCAGCCTGGCCCCAACCCACATGTCCTGTACGGTGCCTTGGTCGGTGGACCAGACGCGGTTAGTAACACAAATATAATCTCTGGGCTTACAGCCGAATGGACTACTTCTGCTTAATTAGAATTATCACTGATAAAATCATAGTCCTACTGAGTAGTTTATCGCTTATTTTTATATATCTTGTGTTTAATTACGAGTGAGAATCTTGCTAGTCTTAGTTTTAAATTCATGAGCGTAAGATTCAAGAATCATACGAAGATGAAAGATTCCTTGTCATACGTCATGAGTGAGCCTTCCCTCCATTTATGACCCATCCCTCCTACGAGTGACCCCTCTATCAATGCCTCCCATGTGTGACCCCACCATCAACGACCCATTCCTGTAATGTGTGACCCAGTCATCAATGCCAACCTTCCTGCAGCTCATGTCGTGTTTCTCTTCCTTCCTCAGAGCGGTACATTCACAGACGACCGAACCCTCTATGAGCAGAACGAAGTCGGTCTTGACTACAACGCTGCTTACAGCGGCGCTCTAGCTGCTCTCATTGAGCTCAGTTAAGAGATGCTCTCACAGAGCTCACTAGAAGATTCCACGTCTGATGTTACTAGCCGCTGTGTCCCAGGAACTAGCTGCTGATTCTCCTGTGATCATTCTCTCACTTTCTTTTATCATTTTCTCTTGTATCTCTCCCTTTTTGCCAATAACTATGTCTCTCATTCTCTGTTTAATTGATTATTTACATTAATTCGGCTGAATCAGATAATCTACATTCTCAAAAGAAAATTATTAAATTAAAAGAAGAAGTTTGTCTATTTTTACCCTTATTATATATAATTATTTTACCTGTCAAGCAGCTTAACAAAAACTTATTGGAATATTTTTGTTAAATACACCGAACTTTTTAAAGTATTTCTTGACATAAAAATCTTGTGCTGGGAACTTCGGAATTTGATATAGCATAATTTAACCTTACAAAAAGAATAATTAACAATATTATCAGAAGTTGAATTCCTCAGTATATTATCAAGAGACATATTAATTATGTTTCTATATAAATATTAAATTAATTGACACTTTAGTAAGTGTCGTAAGTGATATAGTAAGTGTCGTAAGTGATAAATGAGACACTTGTACAACATCGGAGTTTTCTTAATAATGAAAACGTTTACCCAGGCAGCGGGTTATTCAGTCCAGTACAGTGACAGGACTGAAGATGACACTGAGGGGCGAAACGTTTCCAGAATAAAGATTTACAAATGTTGCACAAGTGTCTCATTTATTAACTTGTCGGTTTAGTAAATCATTTATTTACACACAAATAGTAATACATTGTTTTCCTTAAATACCGACCGTAAGTCGGCCCTGTTTTCCTAAATAAATGTTCCCACATTTTCTGGGTGGATAATACCCCCTATAATTACGCAAAAAGCTCCTGGAGAGCGAAACGTTGCCACAATAAATGTCACATTAGTTGCACTTGTGTCTTTTTACTTTACATATTGTCGGTAATTCTACCAACTTTATTACAAAAAATATTCAAAATAATGAAAAAAGCAGGTAAAATAATAGAAATGAATGAACACTGCAGTATACCTGTTTACTCATGTTAGGCCGAATATAAGACATGGTTTTTTTATGATTTTTATTTTTGTCTACCAAATGAAGCTAAATCCTTGGGTAGCTTTAAAAATTAGACTGGACAAATATATAAGTGAAAAAGTGTAGGACTTACGGACTTACGAAGCATCTGTCAATGGACTGCCGTAGTGATCCCCCACCCTTCAGTACTGGTATCATAAATACGACTTTTGTATGGTACCTTTTAATCTACAGTATTGGAGATTAGTGGAATAAATTTACAAGTGTAAAGCGTTGGATCTGAGAAGAATCTTCCTAACATGGGCCATTAGCCTCAATGTATGTATTAACTACTAATGCAAAAAAAAATGGTTGAGATGTTTCGACAGCCAGTGGCCTTATCAGTCGAATACAGATGGTAAAAGACATGAACACGCAGTTTGAGATGATCAGTCCCACACCCTAGAATCCGAGATGAATCAGTTGTAGACAGTGGTATACACACAACAATATAATAATCTGGAGAGTACTATGGCACTCGAACTCTCTACCACCTGGATATAACCTTAACAATAATAATAATAATTGTAAGTGATGACGACTCTATAGACTAATATGCCACCTCCTATAAGGATTTAGAGCTAGGGGATGAGGGCCTACTGTGCTCAATCCCTCTATATCATCTCTCCCTCCACCCATATCCCGCTATGATCAGGTACATTTTCCAAGACATATTTTCACTCCATTTCCACGTATCAACCTTCCTTGGAATAAATTTTTGGTAGGTTCCTTTTTTTCTGGGTCATACATATATTTAATTTTTTACTAACTCATCGACCGTCTCCCACCAAGGCAGGGAAACCCGAGAAAGAAAAACTACAATGTTAACATCCCACCTAAATGAAATGTATGTAGTGTTTTCCGTAGAGTTTCTTGAGCATTCTCAAGGTCTCGTGGTGTAACAAAGGTGTATCTCGTGATTCCTCCAAAGGTACCCATTGACAAGCAGGTAACCTAGTGATATAAAGATACAGCTCTTGGTCTCATAGGTACAAGTCTAATTCGGTGGCACAGCTCCTGGGTCCTATTATAGAGGTAATAAGCTTATAAAGTACATAACCTGACCACTTATGTGATAATAGGCACATCTCCAGGTCCCTAAAAGCGTAAGCACAAACATGGCAAATAAGCTACAGCTCCAGGTCCCCCAAGGTAAGTATAATTGAAACACATGCAAGAACAAACACAGGTAAGAATTACCTTTCAGATAGTCATCACAGACCTCTGAGGGGGACCATAAAATGTTCCTCATAGCGGAGAGAATCCAAAGTTTGCTGCAGAGGTTATTCTGTTGATGAGTACCTCTGGTGATATGCTTGGCACTATGCTTACTCCAAAGACTTTCATTTATTAAGTACTTTAACTGCATACAATGCCTTCCAGATCTCTGGCAGTTGCTCCGTATTCATAGACTTGCTGGAGATTTTAACTAGCAGTTCAGATAATGCCTCATGAACATTTGCTGAGGTTCATGACACTTTTTAAAGCCTGATTATTTTTGAAATATCAAGCTTACCTTGTGTTTTATTAAACCAACTTCCAAGTGATGTGTATGGTGTCCAGTGGTGTTACCACTGTTTAACATTTCTTTTTTACTATGTGGTGTTTCCTTTGTTTACACCGAGAACAAATCTTTAAACAGCTTAATTAACTCATGACAGACTCCATTTTTACTATTAATGATCTCACCTCCCATATTCTTATTTCCTCGTGTACTGATAGAGTGTCAGAGTAAACACTGGGAACAACAACACCTGAATGTACTTGACAATAATCTTGGTCTGTGCATATCGTGTCTCACACTTACTTCATAATTAAGCATATTTACTGGTCTCTGGCAAGCAACAGCTGCCACAATCACACTGGTGAGAAGCGCTCATTTGAGTATATAAGAGAGAAGGGAAGACCCATCATCACCACAGACTTCTGCAGTCATGGTTACTGGTGTTCTGGTGAAGACCTGCCTGCTGGGGGCGCTCGCCCTCCTCTGCATAGGTATGAACTAGTTTAACAAACACAGGCAACCACATATAGTAGCAATCATAAATTCGAGTACAGTCTTCTTTACGGTCCCGTCATTAAGCCTCCCATTTTTCAAGCCCATGTCATTCACCACTCACATTTCCTCACGCCAACAGATGGCGCCCACGCTGACGAGAACCCATGCGCGGCTACGGGCATGACACCCTACGATTACAAGCAGGTAAGTCTTGCTTCTGTCTGACGCTGTTTAGACAAAATTAAACGAAGAGACTAAGCATGTTTTAACCAATGTTTGCAGTGTTTCACACAAAAACAAATGCATTGTTTACTGTACTTGGTTAGAAGTTGTTTGAAGATTGAAATCAGAAATGGCTGAGGATGGAGTTGTCATTTATAATAACGAATCAACTCCTAGCGTTGAAATGCCCTTTTTTTTTAATATTTTTACTTACAAGAAAAATCGGTCGAGACAAAAACTAAATCTAAATTTTTTTTCTACTTTTCCAAGTTCCAAAAGCCCTTTCTCCTACTTGGTCTAAAAATTTTCTCTACACCTTTCTTAAAACCCCCAGGCGCTCTGTATTCATTCTTCTTCTACGAAGCCCAACGGCCCGGGTAAACTACCACAAATAACCGGTCTCAGGGCGAGGCGACTTCCCCCAAAAACCGGTGCTGATGTGGGCCAGCCCTTAGTGGTGGCTACTACAGGGTAAGCATCATCCCCTCCCCCAAATTAAAGGAATGGGGAACAAAGGAACAACAAAACATACAAAATATTGGGGACATTATTAGGGTAGATAAGCTTGGGGATATATCCAAAAATTTAAAAGGAATAATTTTGAAAATTACCATTCCTAAGACCAAAGAAACTGAAAACTTTCTTTGACATGAAAAGAATGAAATAATGTGTTTAATGGGAACAGAAGTATGCAAGTTTAAAAGCAGGAATGAGGGGGTTTTTGAGTCAGTCAATTTAATCTTAGTTTGGGGATCATTACAAAACTCTGTTGGAAATCATCTTTTTTTAAAATTGTCAGAAAAAAGAAGACTTTATTGCAGAGCGAACTTTTATTTGCGCAATATTTCGATCACAGAGAGAGGTTTTTTCAGGGTACTGTGACTTGTTATTCATAATTTTCTTTTTTGAATCGTTCCTGTCTCCCACTTTTTTTTTTTTTTGGAAATTTTCACTCAGGTAATTACAACTCTTTCATTTTTTCCCCACAGCTGGCGATTTGGCAAGTTCGGCTTCCCATTGGCCTTCACCTCACCATGTTGTCCTGGGCCTCCTAGATTTTCCCTAATGGCTTAGTAAAGCTGGTGATTATCTCTCTCACACTTATTTTCCTCCTGCGATGATTGTGAGATTTCTTTCTCTACTACTTATTGGTTCGGCGGGGGGGTTTTGTTCTTACTCTGCAGTTCTAAAATTTTATCCTCCGGGTGATGGTGTTGTATCTCTCTGGGGTACAGGCGGACCTTTGGTCTTATTCTTGTCCTTCTCTGCTGCACTTTCTTTGCTCTCTTTTTTCCCCTTTGCTCCTTTATTTATTTTTCATTTAATAAAAAAATTCTTTCCTCTAATTTCCTCAAATGTGGATGGAGGTTAACACGGGAGCAACTACTGAACTGTCAATGAGTGGAAAAAGCTGCAAGAAGCGTCTTTCAAATATACTGAATGGCAGTATGTTTTAGAAGATCACCTAGCGGGAGGGAACAGGTCGACTGCAATACTTCTCTTTTTACAGCGTTTTAAAACGTTAAACCCCAAAGAGACGAAAAATAAAACAGACTTTAGATCTTCATAACCAGCTCAATTCTGTTTGTTTTCCCACTGTGAGGGATTTATTTCTCATGTATTACTGTTTATGAAGTTGAAATTATTTTGTCGGGTTTTATTGCCCCAGCCAGACGGGTTATTTTTTGGACACCATAAAGGGGGCTACTGACTACTTTCAAGTGTCACACCGAAAAATGAGTATTAGGGACAGGTGCAGCACTCGGTTTCTGTGTAGATTGTGTGGGGGAAACCCCACAGGGTGAAGGAGTAATGGAAATACCCGCAGGAGAGGCTCTCCTATTCTATTTTAGGGTTACATAGGGGGACTAAAAAAATATCTTTTTTCTGTATATATAAGTATGATTTTTAAAACCTAAGCATCTAGTAAATAAGAAGATAATTGGCTTCAGATGTGCTGTTGTAAAAAAAATTTATACAAACAAGGGGGAAATTCAGATTTTCAAACTTTTTTTACGGCGGAAAGGGTAAATTTTGAACGCCCTGGGGAGTCGCCCTGAAACAATGCCCGAGGGGAGCGACCTTCTTACAAGATTGATCAAGAAAACCCCTGGTAAGGTAACTGTGCCTTGATAATTCTTTTTGGGTCGTTGGGTCCTGATGACCCTTACTGATCAATGAATCCTGATGACCTCCGGGGTTTAATCAATCCTGAGACCTTGCTTTTCAGAGTTTTGTTACATTGATGGAAGAATTCATATATGAGACAACTAGAAGAGTTATGAATAACACTTGTACTTTACGCCTAAAGGTGAAGGTGCATCAAAGGTTTCTTAAATCGAAGGTGATGTTTTTAAACTTTGACAGTGGGGAAGAGGAGAGGCAGAGTAGAGGAGTGGAAAATTGGGTATTTCTTCTGGTTCCAGGTTGGACTTGGCTGCTGGCCTGCGCTCTTGCTGGGGCTCATGGTACAAGGGAGGATTCTCTAAGTCTGTTACTTTTTTGTTACCCATAACCGTTATTTATTTTTATTGAATGTTTATTCACACTTGCCTCCCCCTCTCACTCAGCACTTCCCTCCTCAGAGAAAGGGACGCAAATACCTACAGTGCCGAAATGTAAAGGAAATGTACGATTTTGCTGACAATTTCCGTCAAACCTACGACATTCGATCCCCGACCCCTAAACGGTACCGGAAGTGCATTTTGTTTCGGGGAAAATGAGCGGTAACCCCAATCCCGGGGTTAGGCCAAGGGAGTTCCCTTTTTTCGCCATTATTCATTAATTTTTTAAAAAATGCTTTTGATATTTAGTTATATGTTAAGAATAGATAATTTTGTATATAAATTTAAATTGGTTCTTGTGTTTACGATACTGGGGCTTGATTCTCCTCACAGTCACCACTCTGATTGGTCAGGCTCCTGGAGAATGAACTTGCGTCTTTCACCTATAACAACTTTATTCTGTGTATGTCTCCATTTTGTGGAGTGGGTTGGGGGCGATGGTCTGGGCGGTCTGTGGGTATAGAGCACGGAGATATCCCACCTTAACCGCGCCAGGGGTCATTGGAGCGAGTTCAACCTGCAGTATTCCGGGCTGTCAGTTCTCCCCGGGGGGGGCAAGAAAGCTGGAGTCTTGTAAATCTTGTTGCAAAGAGGGCTTATTGTCGACAAGTATGAAGATAAAAACTTAAGTTTCGCTCCGTTTAGTGCTTTATCATGTCATGAATTGATGAAGCTCTACACAGAGCGACTCTGTCGCAAAACAAATTATTTCCACTTTTGATTTTAGCTTCATGTTAATCTTTCCCGTTTTAAAAATTTTAAAGTTTAGACTGTCATCTTGAGGACGAAATGCAAAGTTCTCCTTGTGCTTTTTTCCATGTGTCTTTAAGTCTGTCTGCTACATATTCAAAAAATGTGTCTTCACTGTTTCTAAAGTTACTGTTAAGCCTTTGCTTAATGTTCATTTTTTAGAAAAAATTTTAAAGCTGTGAAATTTATTTTTAAGGGGAAAATAAAGGAAAAAATATTTTTTTAATGATACAAATATACGCTACTTTAGCAGGACAAATTGATGCACTTGAACCACCCCATCAATGACATCTCAGGCCCACACGAAAAAAATAGATACTTTCATTTTTGTTTCAATGGCTACTCGTGTTCCCCCCAGGGCCCCTTCTGGCTACTGGCGGGTCACAAAACCCACCTGGACCACCTTAACCGTACTTCAATTTCCTGAGGAACGAGGCCCCGACACTCCAGAGGGGTGCTATTCCTGCCCAGGGGGCCCCGCCAGACATGCGAAAAATTCCCTTTCCCTTTTCCCCCGGGGGCAGTTTTTTTGCCTTTCCTTCTACAATGAAAATTCTTTAAAAAAACGGCCATTTTTCCCAAGGTGCGAGACCCAGTGAAAGGAACACCGGCGTTTTTGTTGACAGCATTTTTTCCTTTAGGGGAGATACACATTTTGATTTTCCCAGGGCGCTTTAAAATACAAGCACTTTTCTTGCCCCCTCCAGGACAAAAATTCTCCCGCAATAACGCATAACTTTTTCATTTTAAGGCTGCCCCAAAAATGGGTAGACGCACAAAAGAAAAACCAGGGGTCAAGGTAGATGAAACCCGCTTCTTTGGGGCCAACTCCGCTACCCAAAAGAGCTTCGTTTTGGCTTTGGTGACAATATCCCAGAGACCTCATACCCTCCCAGGTACACCATGGCGATTTTTTCACTCCGTTTTTTTATCATTACACTATGAACTTCGAAAAGGGCCGTTTGTTTCCATTAAAAAAAAATTTCTGATTTTTTTTAGCTCGCACGTTACTGAAACAAGAAATTTTGGATTTTTAAAATCGCAGATAGACAAAATTTTTGTTTTCTAACGTGATCTGCCCTGATTTTCAGCCATTCCCCACCTTTCCGAGGGTTTGCACTATGGATGGGCTTACCACCTGGCCCCAACCCCCAGTCCTTACGGTCCTTTGGCGGGGGACCAGACGCGGTTGTAACCACAAATATAAACCTGGCTTACAGCCGATGGACACTTCTGCTTTTTTAGAATTATCACTGATAAAACATAGTCCTCGATATTTATGCTTATTTTTATATACTTGTGTTTAATTACGGTGAGAATCTTGAGTCTTTGTTTTAAATTCATGAGCGTAAGATTCAAGAATCATACGAAGATGAAAATTCCTTGTCAACGCAAAGGGGAGCCTTCCCCCATTCAAACCCTCCCTCCTCGAGTGACCCCCTATCAATGCCCCCAGTGTGACCCCCCCCCTCAACGACCCATTCCTGTAATGTGTGACCCAGTCATCAAAAGCCACCTTCCTGAGCTATGTCGGGTTTTTTTTCCTTCCCCGAGCGGTACATTTACAGACACCGAACCCCCTATGAGCGAACGAAATCGGTCTTGACTACAACGCTGCTTACAGCGGGGCTCTAGCTGCTCTCATTGAGCCCTTAAGAGATGCTCTCACAAGCTCACTAGAAGATTCCACGTCTGATGTACTAGCCGCTGTGCCCAGGAACAGTGCTGTTCTCCTTGATCATTTCTCACTTTCTTTTTTCATTTTCCTTTATCTCCCCCCTTTTTGTCAATAACTAGTTTTCTTATTTTCGCTTTAATTTATTATTTTCAATAATTCGGGGAAAACAATAAATTGTCTTCTCAAAAGAAAATTATTTAATTAAAAAAAAAATTATGTTTACCCCATTTTTTTCTTTCTTTTCAGTCAAGGGGAAAAAAATTTTTTTTTTTTAAATTTTATTGAAAAAAAAAAAAAAATTTTTTTAGGGCATTTTTTTACACCTTTCCAAAAATTTTTTTTGCTTGGACTTTGAAATTTTTTATACGCAAATTTTAAAATTACA